GCACCGCCCACGGAGCCTCCTACCCACGAGCCTACCCACGCCCACCGCCCTCTGGCCGCCAGCCACGCTCCTCGACGGGCAACCTCCACGTCTCTGCTCCCATAAGCCTCTAATTTTCCGTCGGCGCCATCCACACCCTCGGCCCCCGTCTCCCCCACCCACTTTACATATTCCGACTCCTCCCTCTCTGCCTGTCTCTGTCTCTTCCCTTCTCGTCCTCCTCTTCCACCACCACCACCACCACCACACTGCCCGCCGCATACCTTCACTTCTACCTGCCACCCCCTCCGTCCATCTACACTCTATACTTCATGCTCTCGCATACTCTCATCCCCTTCATCGCCTGTGTTTTTTAAATATATCTTTTCAAATGAGAATCTCGGAAATGTTTGAAATTCAGCATTAAGCTAGAGAAAGACGTGTATACGTACGCTTCGGAAATTGGACGAACTTTTTTCTTCCTTTTTTTTAGCGTCGCGCTTTTGCTGTGTCAATCGATTTTGTCGGGCCGAGGGGCTTATCGCGTGGACTCGCGCGCGGTGGGCCGAGTGCGGGGAGAGAGAGAGAGAGAGAGAAAGCGGGCGGGCGGCCCTTGGTAACCACGAAGTCACGTTTCGTATTGTGGAGGGCCGCGCGAGTAAAAAAGATAGATCCCTCACTCGTAGATTCTGTGAAATAGATTAGAGCGTGCGTCCCCGCGTGTCTCTTGTAGACCAGAAATTGTTTCCTTCAGCGTGTTTTTGTGAAGCGAGTTAAAGGGCGGCGGAAATAAGATTTTAATTTTCTGGGAATCAGTTGAAACGAAACTCGTGATTTGGTCTTCCCAACATTGTGTTCTTGTCAGGATGGTTAAAACCATTTTTTTTAAATGCGATGGATCTGTTTTGGTGATATTTCAGAATATTTCGTTTTGATGTTTTTGACAGGCCAGAATACACAGCGTGCAATAGGAAAATTCATATTTTTACGATAATAGACATTTCGAATATTTTCATTAACATTTACATGCGTTGAAGCTAAGCGTATTTTTTTGTTTTATCTATAAAAAGTAATTTTCATTCCTATCTTCTAGAGATGAAATATTTCAGATGTAGATCAGTGTTGGATACACTTAGGGTTGATTTTAATATTGGTTTACATTGAGTTAGATTTTGGTTAGAAGAGTTTTAATTCGTTTAATCGATAATATCATTGTAAGTACTTTAGCAAAAAATAAAACAGAGTAACTTAGGATTCTATATGCAAATTTTGCATAATTTTGGAATCGTAGAAACAAGGAATTGTAGTTTTTGTGGGAATCTTGATTCTTCTGCAATTGTGTGTCCCAGTAGAAATGTGACTTGCATTGTGTGTCGCTCTGTCTGCAAACGTCGCTGCCGCTGAGCCGTCACCCCCGAGTGTAGCCCCGCGCATCGTATCTTTAATTCATATTCCCGCGCTCGCAGCTGTTCGACCAGCGGTGGTGGCACCGGCGGCGGCTGCTGCGGCTGCTGTTTTTTTTGCATGCTTGTGCAGTTGTGAGTGTGAAGCCACAAGAAGCGCGGGAGCGGAGATCTGACGGCTGCCTAATCCGCGATGCTCCGATTGCGCCTCAAATGGTAATGGGAACAGACATGCACATTTTGAGGTGCAGGGACAAAAAATGACGTCATGCGTATATGCGTCATACGTAATGGCGTCATGCGTCTTAATGTTCTGACGGAAACTTTATTATTTCGGTTGTTTTGTTACATAACATGTGAAAGTACATAAGAAGAATTAAGTTAATTTCTTGTGATGAGATGAAGT